GAGATAGATGGGGTGAGTGGGAGGGACAGGGAGGGAGGAATGGGGAGAATGTGGGAGGACAGGGGAGGGGAGGAGATGGGGAGGGGGAGGGACAAGGGAGGGAGGGGGAGGGAGGGACAGGGAGGGAGGAGATGGGGAGAGGGGAGGGACAGGGAGGGTGGGATGAGATGGGGAGAGGGGAGGGACAGGGAGGGAGGGATGAGATGGGAGAGTGGGAGGGACAGGGAGGGAGGGGAGGAGATGGGGGAGGGGGAGGGACAAGGAGGAGGGATGAGGATGGAGAGATGTGGAGGGACAGGAGGGAGGGGGGATGGGGGAGTGGAGGACAGGAGGAGGATGAGATGGAGGAGGGAGGAGGAGGAGAATGGGGAGAGTGGAGGGACAGGAGGGAGGAGATGGGGAGAGTGAGGACAAGGAGGAGGGAGATGGGGAGAGTGGGAGGGACAAGGAGGGGAGGGGATGAGATGGAGGGAGGACAGGGGAGGGGAGGAGATGGGGAGAGTGTGGAGGACAAGGAGGGGAGGGGATGAGATGGGAGAGAGGTGGAGGGACAGGGAGGGAGGGGAGATGGGGGGAGAGGGAGGACAAGGAGGGAGGGGATGAGATGGGGGAGGTGGGAGGGACAGAGGAGGGAATGGGGAGAGGGGAGGGACAGGGGGAGGAGGATGGGGAGAGGGAGGGACAAGGAGGGAGGATGAGATGGGGAGAGGGAGGGACAGGGAGGAGGGGAGGATGGGGAGGAGGGAGGACAGGGAGGGGAGGGAGGAGATGGGGAGAGTGTGGAGGACAGGAGGAGGGATGAGATGGGGAGAGGTGGAGGGACAGGAGGAGGAGGAGATGGAGAGGGAGGGACAGGAGGAGGAGAGAGGATGAGGATGGGGAGAGGAGAGGACAGGAGGAGGGATGAGATGGGGAGAGTGGGAGGGACAGGAGGAGGGATGAGATGGGGAGAGTGTGGAGGGACAGGAGGGGAGGGAGGAGATGGGGAGGGTGTGGAGGGGACAGGGAGGGAGGGATGAGATGGGGAGAGTGTGGGAGGGCAGGAGGAGGGGATGGGAGAGGAGGACAGGGAGGGGAGGGATGAGATGGGGAGAGAGGGAGGGACAGGGGAGAGAGGGAGGAAGGGGAGAGTGGGAGGACAGGGAGGGAGGAGATGGGGAGAGTGGAGGACAGGGAGGGGAGGGGATGGGAGATGGGAGAGTGTGGGAGGGACAGGGAGGGAGGGAGGAGATGGGAGAGGTGGAGGGACAGGAGGGAGGGAGGAGATGGGGAGTGGAGGACAGAGGGAGGGATGAGGATGGGGAGGAGGGACAGAGGAGGATGGAGAGGAGGGACAAGGAGGAGTGGGATGAGATGGGGAGGACAGGAGGAGGATGGGGAGAGTGTGGAGGACAGGAGGGGAGGAGAGAGAGAGTGTGGAGGGGACAGGGAGGAGGGAGGAAATGGGGAGGGACAGGGGAGGGATGAGATGGGGAGAGTGTGGAGGGACAGGGAGGAGGGAGGAGATGGGGGAGGGGGAGGACAGAGGGAGGGGAGGAGACAGAGATGGAGGACAGGAGGAGGGGATGATGGGAGAGGAGGAACAAGGAGGGAGGGGGATGAGATGGGGAGAGGACAGGGAGGGGAGGGGAGGAGAGATGAGGGGAGAGGTGTGGGAGGGAGGGAGGGGAGGAGGGAGGGGAGAGTGTGGAGGACAGGGAGGGGAGGGATGAGATGGGAGAGTGGGAGGGACAGGGAGGGAGGGAGATGGGGAGAGGAGGGGACAGGGAGGGAGGAAGGAAGGGAGGGAGGAGGAGGGAGGACAGAGGGACAGGAGGAGGGAGGAGATGGGGAGAGTGGAGGGACAGGGAGGAGGGATGAGATGGGGAGAGGGAGGACAGGAGGAGGATGGGGAGGGAGGACAGGAGGAGGGATGAGAGGGGAGGAAAGACAGAGGGAGGGAGGGACAGAGGGAGGAGGAGATGGGGAGAGGGGAGGGACAGGGTGGGGAGGGAGGAGATGGGGAGAGTGTGGAAGGGAGGGGAGGGACAGGATAGAGGGAGGGGAGGACAGGTGGGAGGGAGGAGAGTGTAGAGGGGACAGGGAGGAGGAGGAGATGGGGAGAGGGGAGGGACAGGGAGGGAGGGGGGAGAGGGGAGGACAGGAGAGGATGAGATGGGGAGAGGGAGGGACAGGGAGGGGAGGGATGGGAGAGGGAGGGGAGGACAGGAGGGAGGGGAGGAGATGGGGAGAGGGAGGACAGGGGAGGGATGGATGGGGAGAGGAGGACAGGGGAGGGGAGGGATGGGGAGAGGGAGGAGGGAGGGAGGGATGGGGAGAGGGAGGACAGGAGGGAGGGAGAGATGGGAGAGGTGGAGGACAGGGAGGAGGATGGGGGAGAGGAGGACAGGAGGAGGGATGAGATGGGAGAGGAGGACAGGAGGAGGGACAGAGAGTGATGAGGAGGGAGGAGGAGAGAGGAGGACAGGAGGGAGGGATGGGGAGAGGGGAGGGACAGGGAGGGGAGGGGATGAGATGGGGAGAGTGTGGGACAGGGAGGAGGACAGGGGAGGGAGGGGAGGACAGGGAGGAGGGGAGGAGATGGGGAGAGGGAGGGGACAGGGAGGGGAGGGATGATGGGGAGAGGGGAGGACAGGAGGAGGGGGAGAGGGGAGAGACAGGAGGAGGGGAGAGGTGGAGGGACAGGGAGGAGGAGAAGAAGAGGGGAGGGGAGGACAGGAGGGAGGGAGGAGATGGGGAGAGGGGAGGGACAGGGTGGGAGGGGAGGAGGGAGAGGGGAGGGACAGGAGGAGGAGGAGATGGGAGAGGAGGACAGAGGAGGAGGGAGAGGTGGAGGACAGGAGGGGAGGGATGAGATGGGGAGAGGAGGACAGGAGGAGGGAGAAGATGGGGAGAGTGGAGGACAGAGGGAGGAGGGGGAGAGTGTGGAGGACAGGAGGGAGGGATGAGATGGGGAGAGGTGGGGAGGACAGGGAGGAGGGGGATGGGGGGAGAGGAGGGACAGGAGGGAGGGAGGAGATGGGGAGAGTGTGGAGGGACAGGGAGGAAGGGAGAAGATGGGGGAGTGTGGAGGCAGAGGGAGGGATGAGATGGGAGAGGGGAGAGGACAAGGAGGGAGGGAGGAGATGGGGAGAGGGGAGGGACAGGGAGGGAGGGATGAGATGGGGAGAGGGAGGACAGGGAGGGGAGGAGAGAGATGGGGAGAGGGGAGGACAGGAGGAGGATGAGATGGGGAGAGGGGAGGGACAGGGAGGGAGGGATGGGGAGAGTGTGGAGGAGGGAGGGAGGAGGAGAGGGAGAGGGGAGGACAGGAGGGAGGGATGAGATGGGAGAGGGAGGGACAGGAGGAGGAGAGGATGGAGAGTGGAGGGACAGGAGGGAGGGATGGAGGGAGAGTGGAGGACAGGAGGAAGGAGAGATGGGGAGAGGAGGACAGGAGGAGGGAGGATGGGGAGAGGAGAGGAAGATGGGGAGAGTGTGGGGGACAGGAGGGAGGTAGAAGAGGGAAGAGTGTGGAGGGAAGGAGGGGATAGCATCCTTGAGGACATGGAGGTCGATGGCTTTTTCTAGGGTGTCGATTATTTATTCTTATACTGAGCCAGCTATCGTGCAGGGGGCCGGGAAAGGAGGCGGAAGAAGGAAGGGATGGAGGTGAAGGGGTGGGAGAGAACAGCCAGAGACTACAAATGGAGCCAACTTAATTTTGTTTTTATATAACAAATTTATTGACAAAGCTTGTAGCACACTTGCTTGCCTTCTGAGTAAGTCAGTAGGTTTTGACACTGAGGGTGAGATAATTACTAAAACACAGAGACAGAGGTTCACAACAAAGATATACGTCAATGAATAGGATGTATTTTTGTGTACGAAATCTCTGTCCTGCATGGCAGTGAACAGTGATATCATCCACATGTCATGATTCAACTTAAGTTTCGATTGTGCGTGTGCATGTGTGTGTGTGTGTGTGTAACGAGTGTCCGCCATAGTTTGTGTTCTTAGTATGAAATATGTTGGTTCGGATGGTGTGTGGTTAGCTCGAACAGTTTCGCTCATTACTCGTCCACACTGAATGATTCATGATTTAAGTATTAACTTTGTGTAGCTAATATATTATGTTTGAGTATATATAATTTTATTGTATTAGGTTTGTATATACAGTAGGTTAGAAAAGTGGAACTATGTCACTAGATATGTATGAGCCCCTTAGTTTTTATATAAATGTGGGTGGCATTAATTTTATATATAAAATCCATCACCCACGTTAACTCTCCATGAGCAATGAGATGTCATGCAGTGATCATGTGGTCCAGTCATTGAACACGTGATCGGTAACTTTCCATTGGAGGGCGCGTCTGTAAAGAAGCTGTCTAAGCTTTCTTCAGAGGCACTCCTACGGCAGTAGTTATTTATCTCTCATGAGAGAAGTACGTCGAACTAAGCTTCACAGATAAGCTCTGTACCTTCCCCTCAGAGTCTTCACTCAACCCTCACAAGAAACAGACGTATTGATAACCAAGCTTCACAGGTAAGCTTGCCGTCTGATTCTAACCTCAATAGCTCAATTGAGATAGTTACTGTGATATCCTTTTTGAAAATATACATAGAAAACCTTTTCTAATAAACACAGAAATAGAACATACCGGGTCTTAATACAGAAAACACAATAAACTTTTTACATGTTCTAGCTCCATTATCTAATCGTAGTATCAATAGTTAAAGGGCTAGTTCAGGTAATTTAAATAAACTTTGTTTTGGCCAATCAGGATATAGTACGTCAGTATTTGGCGGTAGAGAGGTGACGGAGGTGACCTATTGGTACACTACACTCTCGTCAGTCTAGACACAGCTCTATTAAGTTAAGTAATATACTCT